CGAGGCAGCATGTTTGCAACCTATTGAACGCAGGTCTTGAAGACCGCCAGATGCACTCTCATTTCACGCACATTAACTTTCTCGTGGGGTATGTTTTTGAGGAGCAGAATATTATCAATCTACGGGGCCATGAGATGTGTATGGGCCGAGGAGGAGTGAACGCATTACCTTGACGCTGAATGGCGAGGCATCGTTAACTGGGATTCTCAACTGTTAAGTTGCGCACCGAGCACCAAAGCACTACAACTACTCACCGATAGAGAATAACGGACATGGTGGGTCGGAAAAGAGTGAACCGGTTGCCGGAAGTTACTTTACCATGTGCACAAAAATAGTATATGCTTGTGGGATTCCAGCTCGCACCGGGGCAACCAAAGCAGCGCAGATTAATTGTAATGCCGAAGCCTGCCGAAGCACACGAATGCTGCTTTCAAGTTCAAATCATTGTCAAATCACCGGCCGGATAATACCGAGTCTGCCGAAACGGTCTCAAGATAGACATTTGACGAAAAATTGTGCAAGATATCCACAATCCACCTCAGTTATACAGCAGGTAATACAATGGGTATCCCAATGTCATCCTTATAAGCCCCATAGTAGTATCAAAACCACCAAAAGCTCGGCATAATCAGTTGGGAGCGAAGGGCTGCCCGCGGAAAGCCTCCGAAGTCGAATAATCGCCGCCATCGTCTTGCTGCAATCCAAAAACGCATTAGAAAAAAGGCAGTAAGGAGTTGAGCCTGCCTACCTTTTTGCTGGTACCCATCTCGATTTCTGATGTTGTAGCGTCCACCGTCACAATCGCCGACCGTTGCACGTCTGAGCCCACCATCAGTTACCGTTAGCAGCAGGAGATGCAGGAGACATACGGATTCCGTTAATGACGATGCTAGTGTTCGGAACGTTTGTGTTGTTGTTCCTGCTCGACGACCAAGTCCTGCTCCCCGATTTGCCGTTTCCGCGCAAATTGAAGTTGGAGAGCAAAGTGATGAGGTAGAGGGGGCTGAGAAGGAAGAAGAAGACAGCGGGAACTGGGGTTTGAGAGTAAGCTCGAGTTACTTTGTTAGCTTTTAGGGAACGCACCGTTACTCTGAATCTTGAAGATGGTTGCGATCATGCCCGCAATCGCACAAACACTAGTGGCCAAACCATTCTGAATCGAGATGATACTGACATGGCGGATAAGTCTGTGAACAGAATGGTCAGTGATCACATTCGCTGGCTGCAAATAATCCACCCACCGGTTAGTGTCTTTGAAATTTGTCTTCATTGCTTGCAGTGTCCAGACGAGGCATGTCGCAATGGCGACGTCTAATCGCAATGGCTGAGCCCTTTATCACGTCTAAAATGCAAGCATAACGCACCGGCGACCACGGCCGCTATGACCCAGATGTACACGATAGGCTTGACCTTGTCGAACTGCATTTGCGGTTATTGAAAGTCTCGTAACGGCAGGAGAGAATTGCCTACATTTTCGATCCCCGGGAAGAGAAAAACAGCAAGTAAAGCCATAACAAACTGTAGGAGAACAGTCGGGTCAAGACGCGGTCAGTAAAAAAAACCACATACTGCAAACAGAGTGATCAAGGCCAAAAGGAGCGACACGAAGATGTTTTTGGATCTAGGGACGGTTGAGCCAAAGGTTCCAGCAGACGAGGAGAGGACGACTTACACAGAGTAGAAACGGGATATAAGGTATGAATCGACGGTCAGTGCTTGCATTGTGTTAGCCACGCTATACATCGGGACAGCCCAGGTTTCCGTTAAGAGGGCGCTCGGGTTTCCCCAGAAGGTGACGCATGGCTATGGAAACAGCCTAGTTAGAACTCGAAAATAAAGGGAAGGAAAAAGCAAGACGCACGAAATAGACGTCCGCATAGGCCCCGACCAATCCGACAAGTGAAAACAGAATACTGGCAATCACAAGAGCCTTCCTGATCCAGCTGTCGTTTGGGAAGTTGGAGAAGTACGCGAAAGCCTGCGCATAGGCTAATCCGCAGAGAATTGACGCCAGCCAAGAGCCGATCAGTGAAGTACTATTTTGCGATCAGTATGTCGGTCCAGGGAGAGAAAAACGCGTCAACGCACTCAAATCCAAGATCCAGAGCACCCATATTTGCGCAAGGAAAACGAGTTTGGAGGTGCAGGGGGAGGAGGAGAGCGTATGGACTTGTTGCGTCTCGATGCTTTTAAGTGGAGTACGAGAGGGGAGCGATGAATAGGTTCCTGTCTAACATTTTCGTCGAAGATAGGGGGCCCACAACGAATTGAGTCCTTGTTGAGGAGATGTGGAGAACAGGAGAGTCGTGTTCTAGACAATCCAGTTCAAGAGAATCGTGTCGAGCACTGAGAAAGAATCCGTTCAAGTGGATAGGTTGAGCTTCGTAAGTCACAGAAAAGTGCGCGTCACTGCGCTTGAGGAGGCGGCAGGTTGAGAATAACAGCAAGTGAGCGTTGGAGTAATGTCTTGGTCAATGTCTTGGCATCGACCACCCTGGAAGCGGTCCATCTACAATGTGCAGGAAGCACACAGGAGGCACACAGGAGGTACCCCAGTTGCGTGGATGCCTCCTCTGATGGGCTTCGATCTTGCTGGTCATTGGCCAAGAGTGCTCGGTATCTGAGGCGAATACAAGTCAGACGTCACAACAAGCAGGTCTTCTTTATTTGACATGATATTTCAGAACAATACATGGACAGGAACCTGATTTCTGGTAAGCCACATTGGTTCCACAACCAAGAAAACATATCGAGAGAAGTAAGCGAATATCGAATAATCACACCAGCGAATCGTGATCTTTCCGGTTTGACCATATCGCCCACTGCTTTTTATCAGACTTGAAGCGTCCCCAAAGCTAGGGCATAATCAGATGACGTCCACAAGCGACTTGGAACACGCAATGCTCACATATTCGATGAAACTTTCCTCTTTCATAGCTTCGAGCAGCCTATTCGGATCGTTCTCGAGCTCCGCGTCGTCCTCGCATAGGCTCTGGATCTTCTCCTTCACCTTGACGGATAAGGTGTACAAGTAGTGTCGCACGTCGTGGCTGTACCATCCGTAAGTTGTTTATTTCGAAAAGGATTGGGAAGGAGGACGAACTAGGCCAAGGCACGGTTAAAACACCGTTGTCCGATGACGAGCTGGAAGCCGGGCGGGTACGGCAAGTTGCGCGCCTCCGCGTTGTTCTCGAACTGCGTCGCCTTGCCGTACTTGATTTTCTTCTCTGGCTTGGCCTGCAAACACAAAAATATACATACACGTCGTCGGCTTTCGTTCTAGGAAAGATACGGACCTCGAACGTGTCGTGGTCGTAGATACCCTTCTGCGTAGAGATGGTGTACGCCTCGACGAGATCGCACGCGTACATGCCGCGGGTCCAGCAAGCGTGGCAGTCACCCGTACTTTCGGTCGCAAGGCCGTCTGCCAGGACGGGCCGCAGGTTCAGCGTAGCGATGAACGGCGCCTTCCACGTCGAGAGTGTCATCGAATCTGCGAGGGGGTCGAGGTGGCGCCGCATAGCTTTTACCGCCGTGTCGAAATATTCCTCTTAATGAAGTGGGTCAACGAAGGGTTGGAACAGAGAGATGGGGCACCTACTCTCGTCCTCGGTCGCGGTCGAGAGATAGTCGGGATCGGAATGGAGCGCGATGATGTACTCGACGAACACGGCAAAATGCTCGTCGAGTTGGCGGCTCGAGTAGCGCATACGGTCAAGAGCGGCGTTCGCGTCGGCGTCCCCATCGTCCTCGTCGACGATGAAGGTATCCTCTGCGTCGTCCGCCTCCCCTTCTTCCTCTTCTTCAGCGACGTCCTCTAATCCACCCTCCTCCGCATCTGAGAACGGGGTGAACCCCCTCTCTTTCTCTTCGGTACCGGCGTCGGCTGGGACAGGTGCAGGCGAGGACTTGTTCTTCCGGGCCTTGGCGTACCGCGCAAGTGCGCTCGACCTGAGATCCTTCTTGGTCGGCTTGGAGGAAGTCGGCTGGACGGGTACTAAGGAAGATCACGGCTTGAATCAGTAGAGAACGAATCAACACACGCTCAAGATCCTCTGGATCCTCATCGGAGTCTAGTTCCAATAGCGTCGACGCCTTGACGCCATCGTCGGAATCAGACTTGCGACGCAGCCTCCCTTTCGGCGGAGAGTCGCTCTCCGCATCCATAGGCGAAGGCGAAGGCTTTCGGACGCGTCGCAGCCGTTTCGGCCCTTCATCCTCCTCATCCGAATCTGACTGCACCTTACGCTGAATCCGGCGCTTGCGCGACGAACCCACCGCGTCCGACGCGTCAGAGTCAGAGTCTCGGCTTGCCACCACCTTCTTCTTCTTCTTCGGGGGTGGTGAGGAGTCGGACTCTTCCAATGAGGGTTTCGGCTTCCGCCCCTTGCGCGGTGCGACGACCTGAACGACGGCATCGCTCATGTCTGAATCATCTTGCACCACGTTGATTATGGGGATTGTGGTTTGCTTCGCGACGCGACGCGTCCTTTTCTTCGGTGGGGAGGTCGGTGAGGTTGCATCTGCGCCTCCGCGTTTGCGTTTCGTATGGACCATTTTGAAGGTGTGGTTCGGAAGGTGCCGGTAATCGAGTTGCACGCCTCTCGTCGGCCTATCCAGTCAGCAACAAAGATTTACTTTATTCACAATCCCTCTTAGCTCAGTTGGTAGAGCGCGTCACTAGTATATCCAAATACACTAATGTTATGCTTAATGACGAGGTCAGTCGTTCAAATCGGCTAGCGGGAATCTCTTTTTTGTTCTACGTCCATTTGAAGCCTTCGAGGTTTCCATAGACTTCAGATCTCCGGACGCAGTGCAGAGGGTTGAGGCAATTCTTAGTCTGAGCGTGTCACTAGTATGGGCGTCAAGAACATCTTACAGTATGCAGTGACGAGGTCAGTCGTTCAAATCGGCTAGCGGGAATCCCTTTTTTATTTCCTGCTCCCTTCTTTCCCGCGAGCTTTACTCTATACCATCGGCATTTCGTGGAACGCAAGTCCCTCTTAGCTCAGTTGGTAGAGCGCGTCACTCGTATATGCGGAGACTATATTACATAATGACGAGGTCAGTCGTTCAAATCGGCTAGCGGGAATCGTTTTACCCCTTCTCCTTCTGAATCCAAGGGATGTAAATCAACGAGCTGACCCACAGCCACGGACTTGCCTTCACGCTGTTCAATGCCCTCTCTTTTTCCCGGGCGGATCTCTAACACACCTGACAATGTAAATGAGGGGGTTGGACGCTGTCGTGAATCCACAGCTTTGCGCAGTGCTTGTCCGTGTGGTGCTGTCGACGGCAAAGCTTCAGACCGACATGAAAGGGTGCCAGCGGGCCGTCGACGTCTTGTTCCGCTTCAGTGGCCAAAAGCGCGCGTCACAGACTGCTCGACTTCAGCTCCATTTCGCGAGGCGGCCCAAGAGTGCTTGTAATCCTTCCGAGTTGGTAGCAAGTTCGACAACTAATTGACTACTTCTGGGTCGGCGGTGTACAGTACTTACTCGGGCAAAGAGTCAATCAAGGCCTCGTCCTGGATGGAATGCACGGCTGGTTGGCAGCGGGCGGACCTCCATCTTGATCAACTGCAAAACAGTCAGGGATCCCTCCATTCTTCGGTTCAAATCATCCAAGGATCTTCACAGCTCTCCAAGCATAATGACGAGGCATTGAGCTCCGGAGTTTGACTTACCGACTGGATCAGGCTTGCCACTTCTAATCCAATGCGCACACACTAAAGCTCAGTTTGGATAACGATTCGGCCGGCTTGTGCAGGAAGCTTAAGTGGAGTATCCTTCTCCATGTTCATTCTCGCTGATATGTGAACCCGATCGGACTGGTGGGCCCTGCTCTCGGTCGGATGTCGACCTCCATTCTATTTCATGGCCTTGTACATGGAGCCACTCAAGATATCCTTCTGATTTTCGTCTAGACTCCTCAACATCTGATAGGACCAAGGTCAACCCTTTCGCTCAGGACTGAATTGATTCTCCTGAGGCTGGATCAGGTCTGCAGTTACCTTTTTCGACTTTCAGTTACTCTCCTCGACGAAACAAGCTGGCAACGATTTTACTGAAGTAATTAATTTCTACCCACCGCGAGCGCTCGCAGGAGACTCCGAGGTAAGTTCTCTGATATTCCGAAATCAATTAATACTGTGCCGCATTCCGTTCCCGCGAGCTGCAGTTCTCACTCGAATATTATTCTTCTGCCCTTGAATTTTTGCCTGACGACAAATTCATCAATGTTGACGCTCCAGGCACTGTCTCACTCGTATATCGAAACTCTCCATTCTTTATTTCAACAGCCACACCGCCACTGCTCAGGTGCAGATCATGATAACGGATCTCAACCATGTTCAACTTTCCAACCTTCCTTTCTTTGGCTTCGAGTCGTTCACCGTCGGCGATCCGCTTACGCTGGGGTCCTGGTCGTGTGCCCACTCTGCGGAATTTGTTGTCAGTGAACCCTGAGCCCTTTCCCTTCTCATTAACTGCTCTCGCCGTCGGGCGGAGTGGGGGGTGTCAGATGGCCTCCGCGCCAAGCCGCGTCCTGAAAACAGCTGTAGCGGTGGCGGTGGCGGAGGCGCAATGCGGGGGGGAATAGGCTTTCGTGCGACGGTATCTGACGGTAAGGGGGATTTAACCTCTCTCTCGTTATTGCCAAGTCGCCAAGTTGAACAGGAACTTGAACACCTTGAACACGAAAGATCAACCGCTCGTTCAATTTCTTTTGGCCTGTAGTCTCTCGGTCTGATCGTTTTTCGATTCAAGGTGGAAACCTCAGTATGTTCCGGAACGCGGGACGCCCAACAAATCGATTTCATGTCGGCGCAGATTTTCACAGGTTAGTACGGTCCGCACCGGCTTGGCGGTGACTCACTGCAGTGCCAGTCGTAAGTTACTGATTTTCATCTGATTCACTGAAGGTTCTGAGCGTTAATAAAACAGCGCCGCGCTGATGGAAACGGCATGTGCGGTCTGGAATCAGAGCAGAAGCTGCGGCTGCGGTGATGTTCAACGTACGTTGTCGGTGTTCATTCAATGCGAACGTCGGCGTTCAAAACAATTTGGCGAGCCGGGGGTGCTGTAAGTAGCTTTGTCGGCGTTGATGTTATCGAGCGGTACGTATCTTCCTCGCAAAAAAAACTTGAGCTGAGTAGGACCCCGAAAGCCGGGTGGATTAACGCGTTCGTTCATCTTCGAACGGTGCTATGCACGTTCGCCATCGCCCCTGAGGCCTGGGCCGTCGCACGACGTACCGGAAAATTAATTTCGCCCGTTCTAGGTTCCGAGGTGTTATCTGCATATCTCTTTGGTTCAACTTCTCGTTATCAACGTGGTTGGCTTTCTGATAGCACCGTCTCTCGAGCTGCTTGGTATTAAAACCACGTCGAGGAACGTTCGCCGGTTCCTTGCCCCAAAAACCTAAACTGCACGCGATCCTGTGAAGGGTGACGCGACGTTCCGTCGGACACCGTCGATGCCCGGGGCTCATCAGAGACTCCGAAATTAAGTAACCTTCGTTTGTGGGTCCAGACTCCATGCGGTGAGTTCGCAGTGGTGCGATCGACGCCTGGAAGGTGGTGATGCGAGATTCGATCCTCGGTCGAGTCTCATCAGGAAGAGATTGCGATTGAAAATTCGGATTTTGTCGAACCACCTGGTTTGTGGGTCCAACAGGGGAATTCCATCGCTGGTAAACTCCGAAAGGTTTCGACCGGCTTCAGGCTCTTGTTTACATGGTCTAGGCACAAATCGAAAGAAAAAAACAAACAAGACAAGGACGCCTGAGGTATGCCACGGCTCGGTGATACCGGCGAATTTCCTACTTCATTCCACCTTTTAACTTCTGTCAGCCACTACAGTCAGGCACATATATATGTATTTTTTTTACCGCGACCACGCCACAGACAGCGAGCGAGGAAGGTGTCGCCAGTGGCGATGATCATCATACTCCCGAAGTGCAAGGAATGAAGAAATAGTTAGAAGCACGTTCGACGCGTAGAACATATTCCTACAGAACCACGTTCGATGTTCAGCCGTAGAAAAGATGTACGAGGATACTTACTTACGGGAACAACGACCCTGCGGCTGGGTGGCGGAACGCCAAGAACGGTTGTGGAGTATCATACTTTTTTTCGACGCCTGTACATGTCGAAGATAAGCGAACGCCGCTGTTCAAGTTAACGAAGATTTGACGAAGATACCAAATTTGAAACGTTAACAAACGCGTCAGCGTCGAAAGGCCCCGAGCCGAATTGTCCTTGACTCTGAACCGGGTCGAGGTTTTAAACAACTTGGGGAACGGACGCCACCACATTGATAGCCCAGAACGCTGTTTTAATTTCCGTCGAAGAAGGCACCGCGCAACTCGGGAAAGCCAGCCTGGGATTTGCCTGCGATTAGGTTCCGCTGCCATCCGGTGATCTACAATTAAAACCATCGTTGTCATCGATGTGGCTGCGGGATGGGAATCTGCATCTTGTCTGAATCTAGAGTACTTAGATGGGAAGACGCAATGCAATGCGGTGTTGGCCCCGGCGTAGCACTACTTATACGGCGCACGTTCGATCTAGCGTCATCGTCTGAATAATTCGTTGTGTAGCACGTACGGTAGATCTGAACCCCGAGTCCCCCGTGGAGAATACTTACTATAGTTACCTCCCGATATCTGTGAGGACAGGGACAAAAATGAGATGATAGTAGCATGCATGTCCCAGGAGAATAGGCTTCCACGGCGATAATCGCGGTTCTATTCCGTTCGAAGTCTGATATATCATATAGATATGCCAATGACATACATACATACTTACCGAAGTCTCCGAAACGCAGGATTTGCTTCCGCAGCGGAGAAAACGTGTCGACTATGAATTGATTTGATCCACGCTCTTATCGATAGCCCGAGTCGATGGATACTCGTAGGGACCAGGGTAGGTGATGGATGGGCGATGGATCGCTGTTGGCCCCGGCGTAGAGTTGAGAGTGGGTATCATACTTGCGCACACAGACTCCGATTAGCGGAATTGAGAAAGCCACGTTTGGGGTGCTGTTATCGCCTACAGTACCGCTTGGAAGGAAGCGGGCCCGGGACCTAAGCGACCGCGGGATACTCCGAGGGAGGGCTTGGCGCGGTGAGAAGTCTAAATGGCCACAGCCGAGTTTTTTTTTGTGCGCTAATAAAATGCTGTAGTTGGTAGATAGCGCGAATCGTCGATAATTGAAGTGAGGTGAGGTGTTGGGGATATTGGATATGTACTCAAGTCAAAGACCGGTTTTCTGGATGACCGTACTGGGAGTCTCTCTGCAATGGCATAGGAAAAACTTACTTCCCATAAATTGAATTCGAACAACTCTAGTGATCGATCCGCGGCCTACAAGCGAAGATGCGTGCGCCGAAACAGACATACAAGGCGAAGTGCGTCTCCTTTTCCATCTCGCTTCAGAACCTGAAGATTCGAGGTCTGAAGTTTGAGTTATTTAACCCGTGGTTGAACCGCTGTAAAGCGTGAGCTCCGATTCTGATTCCGAGGAGATGTTGGACGGTGGGAGAGGTGGGGGGGAAGGCGGTGTTGTGGCCACAGACAGACAGACGATTGACAGAATTAAAAACGAGAGTATCCGAGGGCTGGCGGTTCGGAAAGGCAAATCGTACGCCGGGGAGGTGTCAGAGTCGGAACATTCAGATCATGATGCATGAGAGGCCGTGTGGGCTACGTATCCCTGTGTATTTTTGGAGAACTGTTGAAGAATTATTCAGCATCGCACGTTCGCATGCCAGAAGACACGATTACGAGGGCTGCTGGTAGTTGAGGCCTGTTGGGGCCGAGGACGTCCAGCGTGGGAGAATTTGCCGCAGCCAACACGGGCGTTTCAAGACAGATGGACAAGTTGTCAGGAGCCAGAGATCCGTGTTTGAAGAGTGCGGTTTTTGGAGTCTGGGTGCGCGATGTCGAGATAGAATTTTGTCTGATCGAGTACGGGGCGGGCCCGTGATTCTCTCGCGTCGGCGAATGCCGCCCGCCACGCGAGCGCGCCGACTAGTCCTGTTCTGGATTTCGGTCTAAGCGGTTAGCCAGATGGAACGCCGGGGATGTCTATGTACGCGAGTACGTAAGCGCGCCTAGCCGGGTAGCCGCGTAGTAGTGACTCACCAGGGCCAACCTTGGCAAAGGTTGATGATAGTAGTCAGCAAAGAGAGCAAAGTCGGGGACGCACCCGACATAAGTACGCGCGTCGTGCGGCAGCGGCGTGTTACGGGAACGGAGGATATTGATGATCGGGTGCGTCGAATCCAAGTTAGTACATTTCTACAGGAGGCCAACGGCGGAGGCGGTGGCGGGCTCCGAGGCAGCTCGTTGTGGAGTGCTGTTGTTGGGCAAGTGTGATGGACGGTATGGAAGTCCAAGCTGCCGACTTGAGGTACATATATTGTGGCCTTTCTGGCCCTCTGAAGGGAGCTGTAGAGCTCAACAATGTAAATACCAGAGTGGGAATGCCCCGGCGAAGGAATACGTCAGCGATAGGGCTGAATACCGGATATTGCGCTTGGCGGACTCCTGACACCGCGATTCATTGATGCTACATGTAAATTCCATCTTTCATCTCTACGCTTGCTCTACGCTTGCCCTCTGCTACGATGCTGCTCTCCCCGCCGCAGTCCATCCTGCTCAGCCCGTCCACAAACTCCCTCTCCAGCTCCGCCAGCGCATCCAGCGACAGCGGCCGCTCCAGTTCCTCTTCTCATACTAGTCACAGCCACGCCAGCATGCACCGGCCTACAAAAATACGTTTCGCCCCGCTCCCCGACCCCCGCAGCCTCGATGACGACTACGTCGAGCTCACCATCCCCGACGACGTGCCCAGCAAACCCCCGCCCTCGCCCATCCCGCACCTCCCGCCGTCTCCCGCCCCTGTCGCGTCCGCCCCGCTGCCCCCGCTGCCCCCTACACCCACACCCGCGTCGACGTCTGCCGCATCCACACCCGCGCCCGCCCCGCCCTCCGCCTTCCACGCGCACAAAAGCGGCACCTGGCCCAAGCCCAAGAGCCTCCTGCGCCCGTTCCGCCGCGGCACCACCCCCGCGTCCTCGACCGACAGCCTCACGCCCACGCCCTCGCTCGAGCCCGAGCAGCCCACATCGGGCGCCGGCCCCGGGTGGGGCGCATCCCTCCAGCGGTGGAGCAGCGGCGCCTCTGCAACGAACGGGAGCCCACTTGCCCGGACACAGAGCCAGGTCTCGACGACGAGCACCGGCGGAACGAAGAAGCGCGGCCGGTCGCTGTTTAGCATCGGTTCGTCGAGCAGCGGGGACGGGGAGGGCGGCGGGAAGAGTAAGAAACGGAAGCAGCAGTGTCAATTCGACTAGTGCGGCGCGCGTGCCGCCCGCCCTGAACCCGTTTGCCAACTCGCTCGCGCTTGGGGAGAAGAAGCGGGGGACGCGCATGTTGAATGGGCGCGTGTACGGTGGGAGGGGCGCAAATGGTGAGTTTTTCTGTCCTCCGTCTTTGTTTCTGGGTCTCCTTTGTGCAGCTTTTCCCTGGGTTTCTTGCCTGCTATCTCTGCGGGCTGGCCCGCCCACCCCTCGTCCCACTCTGGCGTCCCTTTTTTACGTCCCACCTTGCTGCTTTCATTTCCTTTCCTTTCATGGCGCTACTGGCTCTACTCGCTTCTCCGGACGCGTTCTTTGGGCTTTCATTGCCATATTGATGTCCACATCCATACCCTACCCTTCTTCCTTCTATTCTACCCGCCCGGAATTATCTTACCCGCATATTTCCGCCCCCTGATCCCGTGCCCGTGTATTCTACCCACCTCTCCGTGTTGACCCATGGCCACTCTATATGATATACGATAACTGACCGACTATCTCTCCAGGCGCAGGTGCCAACCCCTTTGCGACCGCGCGCGACGACGAGCCCGAGTTTGTCGAGTGGGGGTACGGCGGGATGGGCAGCGTGAAGAACGGCCATGTCGCGTGGAAGGGCGTGCAGGGCGGAGGGGGGTGAGTTTTTTGGTTTTATCTTTCTCTCTCTCTTGTTTTTCTTTTTTGTTGTTGGGAATATGCTTTGCGGGTTTGTGGTTCTGGGGATGGGGAAGGGAAGGGAGGGAGAGGGCGGGACGGGCCTTTTTTGCGACGACACTTTGGCTTCGATCCTTTCTGCGCGTCGCTTCTGGACGGGCTTGGTTTTCGACGCGCGGGGAGGGATAGGAGAAGCGCGCTCCCATTCCCGCGTTTTGTATGGCTTTGGGCCCGCGCTCGCGTTTGGCCCTTTCTTATTTTGGATTTCTCTAACATGGTTTTGTTGTTGCGCATTCTAACACCACGGTGCATGTAGGCTCGAAACCTGCTGCTAACGGTAACGGCACCGCTTCCGCCGCTTCGACGAACGGAAAGGCGAACGGGCACGCGGGCGCGGTGGGCATGGGCGTCGTGTCGTCTAACGGGGCGGATGACGACGACGACGGGAGCGGGATGGGGTGGGTGCGGCGGCGGAGGGAGGCGCGGGAGAAGAGGGAGCGGGAGGAGCGGGAGGCGGCGGAGGCGGCGGCGGCTGCTGCGTCGACTTCGGACAAGGAGAACGAGAACGAGAACGAGGGCGGGGAGGAGAAGAAGGAGGGGGATGGGGGTGGGGGTGGGGGTGCGGAGGGAGAGAAGGGCGGGGACAAGGGGGTGCACGGACACGGGGAGGGAGAGGCGCAGAGCGGGGAAGGCGCAGGCGGGGAGGGGAGGGACGACGGGAGCGGGACGCCGACGCCGACGGCAGATAAGCCGGGGCTGACGGCGCTCGTTTCGCCCTCTTCATCCATGACTGCGTCTCCGCCGTCGACATCGCCTGCGCCCTCACCCCCCGCACCGGCACCCCCTGCGCACGCCTCGTCGCCCTTCCAGTCCCCCGCGCACTCCGCCCCCGGCACCCCCGCCGTCCCCGGCCTGCTGCCCCCCGCGCTCTCCACGAACAACTCGACATCGGGGCACTCTACGGCGTCCAAGGACGAGGAGCACGTGCTGCGCGCGGTGAACCTGCCGGCTGGGTTCCGCGGGCACCACCACTCGCACTCGCACTCGCACTCGCACTCGCATGGGCATGCGCACGGCCATTCGCGGAGCGCGTCGAGCTCGGCGGGGGCGTTGGCGCTGGCGGCTGCGGGGCCTGAGGTGCCGGCGATTAGCGTTACGGGGGGCGGGCGCGGGCGCCGGCGTGGGGTCGGGCTCGAGCTCGGGGTCGTCGAGCTCCAACTCCAACTCGGATTCGGACTCGGAGAGTGATTCGGATAGCGAGGATGAGGACGAGGGGCCGAAGGCGAAGAAGCAGAAGGGTGGAGAGAAGGGTGCGCGGGGGCCGGGTGGAGAGGAGGAAGAGGAGGAGGAGGACGATGACGACGACGACGATGAGGACGAGGAGGAGGCGGAGAAGCGGCGGGTGACGGCGTTGAGCGCGGGGGTGGAGAAGATTAGCCGGCACAAGGAGTAATGCGCTCTGGGCGCAAGCGACTCCGACCGGCCGATCTCTGCAGACGTACTACACACCTGGGGCAGACGCACACGCACACACAAGAGGAGAGGAGGCCCGCTCGTTTCTCCGTCCACACCGACACGCACCTGCTGTCTCGCCTCGCCTTACCTCCGCTTTAAAACCGCACGGACGTGGATGTGGGTGGGCTCCCTCGGCCCACACATCCGGAGCGCCGACACTGCCCCTCCCCATCCATCCATCCAGACCTAGCCCACACGACCGACTCCGAATATACCGCGCAAGATACCGACCGATACCGATACCACATACCACATACCACCTGCTTGATTTTGAAGCCGAGGCTTCAGCTTGAAGCTCGAAGCGCCCCACACACCCCACTCGAAAAAGAGTAGTTTATATTCATTTTATTGGTGCGCACGCTCCCTCCCTCGCTGCCCCTCGACAGAAACTGAGCTGTCTCTCACAGCCGCCCTCCCATACATACACACCACACCTGCATACATAGCATACCTGCACTCTGCCCGTCCCGCCGCTAGCCTACATCGTTTTAGTCCTTGGTCCTATCCTCTTTCTTAGTTTCTTTCGTTGGGTCTTGGGTTTCTGGTCATCTCATCTCATTTCGTTTCTTCTGCCCCTTGGACTTTTCGTGAGTTTTGAGTCTGTCAATGTATGTACAACAACTACACAATACAATCCACTACTGCGTCTGGAGATCTGAAGTCTGTAGAGACCTAGAAGGTTTTCGGGAGGTGAGAATGGACGGAGAACAAAAAGGATTCCCGCTAGCCGATTTGAACGACTGACCTCGTCATTAAGACTACAACTTTGCATATATACTAGTGACGCGCTCTACCAACTGAGCTAAGAGGGACATAGCTACGCACTGCTTTCGCTCTCTAATCCTCTATATATGCTAATATTGTGCAGAGCACGCTCTCCACCTCTCTAAGTCACTCTCTTCCTCCCGGCAACGCACCCTCCGCAGCCTCTTATGCACCCTCTCACATGTCTCACCGCTCCCTCACCGACGAGGACCCGAAGCACGAAGAGAAACACCTCAAACGCTCCCTCCCGCCAGTAGTATTCGCCCTCCCGCGGAGCGCGTCGGGCGTCGCGGGCGATGCGGGGAGACGGGTGGTGGAATTTTATATGAGTTGGCGGGGAAGACGGTGGGTTCGTCTATCTATTCGATTTTCCGTTTTCCTGGGGCGCGTTTCTAGCGGGCATCGCTCGACAAACACTTTTTTTTATGTCACTGGGCGTCGCCCGATCACTTCATTTTGCACTTTGCCACTGAGGCTGAGTGACTTTGGGACTACATCTCACAGCATCTCACTCCCACCATCACCGTTGCACCCCATGCTGTTTTCTGCGTATCGCGTCTCCGGGCGATGGCTGATGGCCGAAGATGTGTCGACACGTCGGGTATCCCGGACCAGGCGCGCGTCGTTGTGGTGTGCAGAGGCTGTTACGATCTGCCTGCGTGCGCGGACTGTGCCAACGTGCAGATGCAACGTCGTCTTCCAGTTACCCCGATGGCGGATGGGGTGGGATGCAGCTTCTCGCTCTGGCTGCGGGTCTTGTCGAGACACGGTCGAGATAGGATGGATGTACACGCACGATGTGGACTTCTTTTCATTCACTCTTATCCTTTGTCTTGTGTCTCCTCCTCCCTCCCTCCTCCCTCTCCCTAATGCCCCGTACTAATCCCAATCCTCGCCCACAGAAAACCCACCCCCTCCACGGCCGCGCGCGCCGCGCCGGGTTCTTGGAGGGAGGCGTTGGATGGGGAGTGGAAGAGGGCGAGTCGGGCGATCAACGGTGCGGTGTGCGGCGACGGCGGCGAGATGGACGACGTCCGGGCTGTCACACTTGGTGAGTGCGTCTCTATCTGTATTTTGGGGAGAGAAGAGGGCGATGCGGGTCTGGTCGACGTCGAGCGCGTGGGGTCGGGTGCGCGGAGGAAGAGATAACGACGCGTCTGCGGGGGGTGAAGGCGCAGCGGTGCGGGCGCGGGTGTGCGCGCGTCTGAGCGATGGATGTGGGGAGACGCGTCGTCTCGTCGATGGAGGCGGTATCGACAGGCGCAGTGGGTGGGTGCGCGGAGATATGGAGCGACGACGACGCCGTGTAGACGCTAGTCGCGAGTACGGACGCGGATGGGGGCGGAGCTGGAGCGGGAGACGTGTGCGCGGCGTTTGCGAGCGCAGTGGGCGGTGCGCGCAGATGTAGTGTGAATGAGATACAGCCGGGCGAGACGCAGCTGGATGGATATGGACCCTGCGCGATGACGAGACAGGCGTCGGAGACGAAAACGCGTCGTGCGACCCGTAGACGGGAGTGCGAGCGATACATGCCTGGGGGGCATATATATATGTGTGCGAGCATGACGGGAGCGTCCACGCTTGACACCACCAGCGGAATTTAGGCTGTACACCGAAAATAGCGTCGGGTCGCGGCGGGTGCTTGAACGGTGCGGCGGACGCCATGCATTCGTCGGCGCGCGGCGTGCTCCCCAGCGTCCGCGAGCGCAACGGCGGTGGCCAGGACGCGTGAGACGCCTTCGCTTTCGCCGTCGGTTTGCGCTGTACGGTCTATCCCCACGTCCTACAGGGAAGCGCCAATCGCATCGATGCTATCGTGCTTTTTCCTTCCATTTTTTCTGTCCCTCTCTTCGCTCTCCCATATGCCTTTCCTCCCCGTCTCTCTTCTCCCTCCCTCCCATCCACCTTCCTCCTACTCTATTCCCCCTCCTTCCCTCCCTGCTATGTATGCTAACGCTTCCCCGACAGTGCGCGCCCCCACCGACCCACAGCCCCTGCCACGTCTTCCGCCGATGCTGGCGCAGTACGCGAGAGAGGCGCAGCAGAATGCGGAGGGAGGGTGAGTGGTTTCGCCTCGATTGTTTACTGGAGAGAGCCTGTGGTCGTTCGCGTTCTCGCTCATAACGCTGCGCGCTCACTCACCTCCTTCCCTTTCCCGTCTCTCCCCTCTTTCCTTTCTCCTCTCACCCCCTTCTCGTATCGTCACTAACGCCTCCCTCTCCGCTTCCCCCAGACTATCCGCCCCGCCCGCAGCGCGTTCCTTCTCCGACCCGCTCCCCGGCCCATCATCCTACCCTCTTCCCTCGTCCTTCCCGATTAACCAAGAGAGGCCGCCGCTGGGGACGCACCGCGGGAGCGTAGACAGCCTGACGAGCGTGACGAGCCTGCCGCTGCTGGGGATGGTGCGGTGGGGAACCGGGTGTGTATTTTCCCTTTCTTTTTATTTTTTTCTCGCTTTGGTTTGGTGTGGGGGAGGAGGGAGACCGATGATGGGGTGTGGCGAGGAGTTGGAGGAGGGCGTGCTTGTGGGGCTCGGTACGAGCGCGGGCGAGACGGAGATTCGTCCCTGGGCGGTCGGGGAGGTGTTGCGTACTGGGAGTGGGAGGGGCGCCGCGGGTCGAGGCTGCATCCCGCCCAACTAGTATCGCAACATTGTCGTGCGGGCTCTTTCTAACCTTTACTATACCCCAAGACATGCCATCGCTGCGCCCCGGCGTGTGCTAATTCAAAGCGTGGCTCATTCACTGTACAGTGCTACCCAAGCTCGCAAAGCTATGTAGTAGGTACGGAAATGAGAGATATGAGTATATAGAGCTGATACCAAAATCCAAATGAAGTGATCTTCGAGACCTTGATTACTACAACCTCACCATCCTGAGTCTTATCCATCTAAGTCACGGTATGAGGATAAGAGGACGAATTGTAATAGGGGACTTCACGCTAGGACACATTTTCGCGTTTGTGAATAAATTTATTCATTTGATCGGATGAATAAAATCATGGTTTGTGGAATAAATCCATGATCACCCCGTTTGGTTTCCACAATATATTTTCATTAATTCTTTCCGATTTCGGCTCCTTGGCCGGTTTTAGTTCCTTGGAAGGCATCGCCTCCTTGGCGTTGGCATCGGTGGGTGTGTTGATTGTCGTGTCGCCCTCCACGCCGGTCTTTAGAGCCTTAGTCCTATTCTTGAACCCCTTGGGCCTCCCCAGAGGACATTTTTCAGATTGAGCTTTCTTCATGTCCGCCAAACGAGCCTCGAGCTCGTCAACTGATTAGGAGTCGGGAGCTTTCAACCGCTTCCCCATGAGCGGCAATGATCAAGATGGTGACGGGCAGCTTACTCAAGCAACTCGAAGCATATATATCACACAAAAATATGTTTATTCCACAAGCACGATTAAATGGTGCTTGTGGAATATTTTTATTCCGCAAAAACAATCGTTCCCATCAGATGAACATTGATATTCACAAACGTGAAAATGTGTCCTAGCGTGAAGTCCCCTAATGTCCAGAAGATACCTATTTTTCGGAGACCATGGTGGCCATCTGCTTAAGATGCGAGTATTAATAATGAAAGGAGTTGGCCGGCAAGCGGCGGGGCACAAACAGAATTCAGAACAATTTACCTGTGAGCCTTCTATTTTTTGGACAATTACAATTGTGCACACTCTGTATACTCGAAAAGGAATGGGATTGAGCAAAGTTGATGTAAGCACTTGCTGGCCATGGATGAAACTTGAAGTGAGTGGCCCAAGAGTGGCCAGCAAGTAATAAGTAGCCCACAAATTTAAATAAAAAGGATTAGAGCGTATTCATATGACATTTTAGGCGTCACATTATTCATTTTGGAAGAAAAATCTCTTGAGGCAAAAAAAAACTTGGGCTCAGATCACAGAATGATTTCATATCACATCTACGTATACTAAGTACCTATATCATGCATCTCCCCACCGGAATAGGGCTATAATCAGGTAGAGCGAGGGACCTTCGGAAGGTGCCGAGATGGCACAGCCACTGTGTCATCATCTAGATGTAATCACAGTCCTTGAAATGAAAACCAATGACATTGAGCTTTGAATCTGAGGTGAAGATGTATGGTACGGTACAGCTGTGGGTGTGGTAATGTAATCAGAATATTGTATGAAGATGAGGATGCATATTTCTCTTGCCCATCCAATCTGGGCACAGTGGGCAAGGCTTCCTACAAATATTTGAGAAGCAGTATGATGGCATATGGATAAACTGTGCATACTCAGATTTGACATTGGTATTGCAGGAATGACCACTACTACCAAAAAAATAGACTAAAGAAAAGCAAGTGTTTGTGATCAGAAATCCGTCAACTTGACGGGTTTTAGACCGCGTCCTGTCACGGATCATGTGCCATGTGACCAGCGACGTGTCGCACATTCTCATACCCTAGTTGTCAAGTGCCTGCAGGTGCAAGGCAGTAATTAGAAGGTAGAAGGCTTGTATATGAAGAAAACACCTCCCTTGACCACCTAATGGTATACCTATGGGGTGTCTGCACAGGAGGCGTCATAGCTGTTTATCAAATAAAATGATGGACACCGGCAAGATTGAACCGGCAATCGGAAATTGAACCGTGCCCATCCCGCATACCGTAAAGGGCACTCTCCCACTTTGATCTAACATAGACTTGCAATGTAGATGTGGAATGTTGATTCTTACAGAGATGGTGTCGGCGCTGCGATAGCGATAGGGAAAATTAATGCAGGGGCTGTGCTGATGTCGACCGATTCATCCGAAGGTCTGTTTTGCCCTCTCTCTACCTGATTAAAGCCCTATTCCTGTGGGGAGATGCATGATATAGGTACCTAGTATACATAGATGTGATATGGAATCATTCTGTGATCTGAGCCCAAGTTTTTTTTTGCCTCAAGAGATTTTTCTTCCAAAATGAATAATGTGACACCTAAAACGTCATATATTCGCAGCTCTCTAAAAGCCCCAAAATCACGAAAATGTCAAAAATTTGATGTCTGATCACAGAAATTTGTGACGACCAAAATGGGAACGGCA